ACATGCGGTGAAATAAAGACATAAATAAAATCATTCCCAGCGCTTCTAAGAAATAACAGAGTCAGTATCAGGTGCGGCTCCATCGCTCGCTGCAGGTTTTCTGGGGGGTGGGGGTGGGGGGGCGGAGCGTAACGAGGAGATCTCCCTCCTCTTTAAAAAAATAAAAAAAGTGCGGCGCGCACAGGCTGTCCGCTCGCTCTGAGAGAGATTATGATCCCGAGAAGAGCCGCTCCTGCGCTTCAGCACTTCCACTGCGACTAGTTCCATCAGAGCTCCGAGCCTCGCTGAGTCCCGTCAACTATCTTCTCCTCCGTAGCCTCCCTCCCTCTCCTGCCTTCTTCTTCTGCGCTGGATCTTTCGTGCCAGAAAATGTGCGTGGAGAGCGATGGATGCGAGATTGAAGGCTGCAGCAGCTCGGATGAGGTGCGCACGCTGTCGGGCAGCATGAGTCCCGGACTGAAATCCAACCCGGACCTTCACCCCTGCAGACCGGGGCAGAAATTCCGCGCCGCGCTGTTGAAGTGCCGCTCACCGGCCGCCGCCGCCGGGATCCTCAGTTTTGGGAACGTCCTCAATTACATGGACAGATACACCGTAGCCGGTAAGAGAGCTGACTCTGTTTCATTGAAATCACAGCGTGTTTTATCATTGATCTGACAGAGAGCAGAGCGCCGGTCTGTATTCTCTGAAGTGATTGTGCGCTAATTGTCCGTGGGCTGCTCCACTCGCGGAGCGACCAGCCTTACCTTAGCGGAGACGGAACAATGGGCATGCCCGAGCGCAGTGGACTATCTGAGACCACAGTGCTGTAGATTGGTCCCTGTCCGCGGTGATTAAATCAAACACGCCTTCTCTGTCGGTCAACAAAGACTTGACCTAAACGGCTTTTCTCCCTCCTCGAGGTCTCTAGATTATTGCGGATCGATCAATTAAGGCGATCGGCTTTCCATCCACGGGCCGAGCCCGCCCCATCAGGCTTACGCACCGAGCGCGACGTCGCTGATGTGTCAGAGGCATTTAACAGTGGAAGACCAGCAGGGAAGAGAGCGAGTGTATCACTGCGAAGGGTCGCTGCTTCCTGGAGAGGTTCAGTCCAGCAGCTGTAGCCCGGGTCCAGCTCGAGGTGTGATGCCGCGATGAGGCCATGTGCTGCTGATCCTGTTGGTCAGCGCGTCCGCATCTCCTCACTGATCCAGAGCACGTTTCATTAAAACGCAGCGCAGATGGAAATTAAGGCCGTAGTGATGTGAAACTGATGAATTGTTTGACATATTAGATGTTAATACAAAATCAAGATATTTTAACTGTGTTTTGTTAAAGCTTCTGAATAACAGAAGTAATGATTCTGTGTTTACTTTAAAGCTCGGCTTGAATGTTTCATCAGACCAGGTCAACATTTCTCCTCTTTATCATTATAAAGCTGATTTTTACAGTGAGCTGCGCTCAGGTGTGGGTGGCGGC